GCTCCAGGACTATGGCGCTACCATAATCAAGCTGTCAAAAGTCAAGTCAAAAAAAAAAAAAAATCTTCCACGCAGCATGAGAAAAGTGACCCATCATATACAAGAGAGTTTCTATTAGTGTCAGAAGACTTCTGAGAAGAAACACTGCAGGCTAGAAGGGACTAGGATGGTATATTCAAAATGCTAAAACCAAAATTACCAATCAAACAAGAATACCTGGCAAGAGAGAAGTTAAGACTTCCCAAGATAAGAGCTGAGTGAGTTCAGTACCAGGTGTCTTACTGATAAAGTCCTTCAGCTTGAAGTGAAAGAATGATAAATAGCAACAAACACTACAAAAATATAAAGCTCCCTGGCAAAAGTAAATATACAGACAAATATAGAATCCTGTAGTAAGGTAATACAGTTGCATAAGTCATTTTAAATCTTATACAGAATTTTTAAAACCAAAAGCATAAATGTAATCACAAATCTATTGTTAACAGATGAGCAATATAAGAGAGGTAATTGAGACAAAGAATAATAAAAGGCAAGGGGACAGATGTAAAGAAGTATGAATTTTATACTGAAGTTAAATTATCAGTTTAAGTAACTTTAAGAGGTTATAACTTTAAGAGGTTTTGTGATTGCAGTGATACCACAAAGAAAACAGATATACACAAAGAGGAATGAGAAGGGAATCACTGCATATTATTATAAAAATCAATAAAACAAAAAAGAAGACAGCAAGGATTTTAAAAATGATCAACAAAATGGATAAAACTCTAGGTTGAGTGACTAAACAAAAAAAATGAAGACTCAAATAATTAAAATTGGTAATGAAAAGGGGAGCTACTTGGAGGCTGAGGCAGGAGGATTGTGAGCTCACGGACAGCCTGGGCAGCAGAGCAAGACCCCGCCAGTAGAAAAGGAAGAAGCAGAGAAGCAGGAAGAAGCGGAGAAGCAGAAAAAAGAAGAGAAAGAGAAAAAAAGAGGAAGGATGAGGAGGGAAGTGATGAGGAAGGGGAGAAGAGGGGAAAGGAAAAATGAAAGAGGGCATTACAACTGGTAAAAGGGTTATAAAGATGACCAGTAATAATTATATGCCAACAAACTGGATAACCTAGAATCGTCAGGTAAGTCCCTACCAAGACTGACCATGGAGAAATAAAAAGTTGAACACACTTAAAACAAGGAGATTAAAGCAGTAATAATGAAAAATAAAATAAATGAATCTAAAAGAATATCTCCCCGCAAAGAAAAGCTTAGGACCAGAGAACTTGACTTAGGAGTTCTGCTAAGCATTTAAAGAATTGACATCAATTTGTCTCAAACTTTCCCAAGGAACTGAAGCAGAGAGAACACTTTCAAACACCTTGAGGTCAGAACCAAAACCTTTCCCTCTACGATCGGAACCAAAAGGGAGCCCATTCTCACATCACAATTAGTCATACTAGCTAGACCATTTTGACAAGAAGAGGAAATAGGCATTCAAATTAGAAAAGAATGAGCATTATCCACAGATGAAATGATTTTATATAGAGAAAAATCTAAAGAATAGATTAAAAATCATACAAATAAATGATTTCAGAAGTTTCAGGATACAAAATCAACACACAAAAATCATATTTCTGTCTACCAACAATGACCAATGCAAAAAGAAAAACCCTCCCATTTCCTAAAGCATCAAAAAGGATAAAACACTTGGGAATAAACCTAATAAAGGAGGTAAAAGAACTCTGGTAAACTACTAAACATCACTAAAAGAAATCAAAGAGGATAAAAATAACTGCAAAGACAGCCAGGCACTCGTGGTTGGTGAGACTTAGTATTAAAATGTCCATGCCACCCACAACAATCTACACCTTACAAGATCCCTGCCAAAGTTCTCATGAGATTTTTCACAGAAATAGAAAAACAAATCTCAAAAAGATAAAGAATAAATAAAGAATCTCAAAGGATCCCAAATAGCCAATCTGGAAAAAGAACAGAGTAGGAAGTCTCATTCTTCCCGATTTCAAAGCAATGGTGATCAAATCAACATGGTACTGACATAAAGACAGATACATATCTGCTTACCTAGGTAGACACACACACACACACACACACACACACACACACACACACACCCCAATTAGATGGAATAGGGAACCCAGAAATACACCAATGCATACATGGCTAAATAATTTTCCACAAAGGTGTCAAGAATATACAATGAGGAAAAGATAGTCCTTTCAACAAATAATTCTGGGAAAACTGGATATTCACATGCAAACAAATAAATTTGGACCCAAACTTTTTACTATATTCAAAAAAAAAATTAACTCAAAATGGATTGGACTTCAACCAAGGAGCTAAAATTATGAAACTCCTAGAAGACAGGGGAAAGCTTTAGGCACTGGATTCAGCATCTGTACTTTGGATATGGCTTCAAAAGTCTAGATAAAAAATCGAAAGTGGAGAAATGAGACTATAGCAAATAGAAACTTTTGTATGTCAAAGGAAACAACATAGCGGAAACTCCACAATCAAACTGGAAAAAATATTTGCAGATCTTCTAAAAAGGGTTACTACCCAGAATGTTTAAAGGAATGTTAACAAGGAAAAATCAAATAACCCAGTTAAAAATGGACAAAAGATTTAAATAAATATTTCTTCAAAGATCACACAGATGGAAAACAAGCACATTAGCTGATGCTCAACATCATACATTATGAAGGAAATGAAAATCAAAACCACAACCAGATGCGACCACATCATTAGAATGACCAAGAAGAAAATAACAAGTACTGGTGAGAAGGCAGAGAAAATGAGCCCTGTGCGCTGATGGCAGGAATGTGAACTGGCACAGCCACCATGGAAAATACTATGGTGGTCCCTCGAAAAATCAGAAATGGCACAATAATGACTCATCAACCCACTTGTAGGTATATAGCCAAAAGAATCCCAACAAATTGTGGAGAGAGAGGTACTCACTCCAGTTCACCACAGCATCATTCCCAGTAACCAGAGCTGGAAGCAGGCCAACAGATGAACTGACGCGAAAATGCGGCTCAAACACACAATGAACATCATGCAGCTCTAGAACAGAAGTCCTCCCTGCCACATGCTGCAACAGGTGACTCCACTAGTATGGAGCACCTAGAACCGTCAAAGTCACAGAACCACAGGTAGCAGGAGGTGACTAGGAACATGGGGAAAGGACAGTAACTGATGTTTTTGGATAGAGTCTCTGTAGGCTTTGCAAGGTGAAAAGGTCCTAGAAATCTGTTGCACAACAATGTAAAACACTTCACACTACCGAACTGTACTCTCAGGGAAGGTGCAGATGGTAAATTAACGTTATGTGTTTTTGCCACAGACTAAAAGGGGCTGTATTAAATGGTATAAGTATAAGCACAAACCGTAAAGAACGACAGCCTGGAAGCAGGCAACCAACGCAAGCTCATAGCTGCCACTGTCACCATAGCTTACTCACCGCTCCTCAGGAAACACTGTCTTACTACTCTCTCTCTCATCCCCATCCTACCCTTAATTTCTTAAATAATTTTTCTTCCTAGGCTCCACCAAAAAAAAAAAAAAAAAAAGGCATTAAGTTTCCATTAATTCTCTCCTAGGAGCTAAACTGAAAAAAATAAACTTTAAAAGCAACATAAGGACACTTTAAAGTTCCCTATATCAAGTTCTTAACTGTAAGGTACATAGTATACATTGGCCACAGAACAAAATAGCCAGGTTCAACAATAATATTGGGATTTACAAAAATGAAATGCTTTCCTTACTATTTTGAAATTAAGACTTCTCTAAATCTAGGATGTCATGTTTTGACACACAAAACTCAGACACTGTTGTATTCTAACTGTTGTATTCTAACTGTATTTATTCTTTACAGTTCTTATTTCGTGAACTAAGAGTAAATCATGTTGAATGCAGCTGATTGCTATGGTTTGGATCTTGAGATCCCCACAAGGGGGTTTATCCCTGGAGAAGCACTACTCAGCGGTGGTTGTGGAGCCTGTAATGTGGGGACGTGGGGGAACCCTCTCTCTTGATTTCTAGCCAGGAGATGAGCAATGCTCCCACCGTGATGTGCTCCTACCACCGGCCCAGAAGCAACAAAGCCAACTGACCATGGGCTGGCATCTTCAAAACCGTGAGCCAAAATAAACCTTTTCTCACTATAAGTTAATGACCTTAGGCTTCTGTTATAGCCAAATGTCCAAGAAGAGAAAGTCTGACCCCAATGTGAGGTCTTCCAATGGGAGGCTATGCTGTTTCCTTCTCTCTTCTTCCCCTATCCCCCATCACTTCCTTTCTGATTCCAGAACTAGAACTTCTTGCTGTCCTCATCAAAATCTTCTCACCAGAAAGGACCTAATAAACTTTTACAGTAAAAAATAACAGCAGCTAGGTTTAGTGTGCTATGCTTCAGAGTATTTGCATTTTGAACAAGGAATAAACTCTCTTTTTGGTTAAAGAAAATAACCTATCATTAAGGAGAATTAAATTTGAAGAAATAAGAGCTTCTCAGAATTCTTTGCTATTGCCTACCAGGTTAACAAACCCCACAACAGTGCAGGATTCTTCTACTTGAATATCATTAGGGACACAATGCTTTTTTTTGTGTGGGGGGGTGGCATTTAAATTTATTATCTTCAATATAAATGTAACTGTATTGTGGCTTTCAAAAAGATTTACTCTACCATGAAACCACTCAAAAAAAATGTAACAGTGGAGAGAGGAAGGAGGAGAGAAGATGGAGGAATGGAGTTCAGAGGAAGCGAGACATAGTGAGGTTGCCCCTCCACACGGGAGCTGGGGCCACACTTGGTACACTCGGGAACCCCAGAGCCCACGTCCTGAACCGCCATGGGGATCCTGCTCTCTCTGAGATATAATTAGGACTACACAGATCTGAGGAGGGCTGTGCTTCCAAAACCTCCTGCTTTAATGAATATATACCCTTGATAACACTTCTTCTTTAGAAGCATGAAAAACATTAAAGGAAAAGCCACACTTACCTGAATGTAATATATGCCCTTTTCCTGAGCATACATCATTAGAAAACAGTAATCTAAGTTTTGCTTTGTTCTCCATCTGAAACAAATAGTTTCAAAAATAGGTTAGGAATCAGACTGAAATTTAACAAAGTAAGATTAGATGTATAAGCCTCAAGTTTTCTATTATAATACAAGAGTCAAAGAAAATTCTCTTTTCTCTAATGCAGCATTAAATACACCAAATACATTCCTAAGAACACCAATCTTCAAGGTGTCCTGAACAAAAAAAGGTCAAGTGAGTTTGGGAAAAACTGTGCACATATTTCTTTCCTGGAGATATGCTAGTACGTTAGAGACACTGAAACATCTAGCAGCAAAAACATTTGCTGAGGAAAACTTTTTTTTTTTTTTTTTTTTAAACCATGCTGGGGATCAAACCCAGGGCATCACGTATACTAGGCAAGTGCTCTACCACCGAGCTACATCCACAACCCAAGAAAAAGAAATTTTAATCCAATATTTTCCAAACCTCCTTGACCACATAAAATGTTCAAGTAACATCTGAATGTCTTGATGAACTAATCCTTAGATAAATCATACTTTAGGGAACTCTGGTACCTAGGACTGTGTTTTACATACAGGTACAGATTAAAAAATGTGTATTGAATACAGGTACAAATAAATAAATACATATTTAATGTTAAAAAATTAAATGTAGAATATTTAGACCTTTCAGTAAATTCCTGGCAGCCTATAGAAACACACTAAAAATGTATAACAGAAGTGATTCCAAAAGCCAGCTTAAGGAAAACACAGTAAACTAAAAGCTCATACTAAGAAAACTTCCAGAATACATCTCACAAGCTGCCCTAGGCTTCATGAGATGATCTTGAGTATGTTAGCAAATCCAGCCCTAAAATTTTTGCAGGTTTGATTGACAGAAACCACATTTATTAACTCCCACACTCACAGAATGGAAGACTTTAAAGGACACTCAGCTCACCTCACTCTTTCTTTTGAGTCTCCAAACGTCTCCTTTAGGTTTGTCAAGTCAGGGTAATAGCTTTCAGGGGGTGATATTACTTCCACCAGGCCAGAACTGATTTCTTTAGAAAATCTGCCATGAGAAAGGTAAGCTCAGTTATTGAAGCTCTGTGAGATTTTATTTATCTTAACATCCAATTTAGCACATTTTACATAAAACACACCAGAGAACATGTGTAGCAGGAATAATGTGATGGTCAAAATGTGCTAAATGAAGCTGCTTATCACTGAGCTTATTTATCTGAAAACACAGGTTTTTCTAGTAGCACAAGGTTTGGGGTTTTGTTGTTCTTGCTCTTAATACTGCTTTAAAAAAAAAAAAAAAAAACAGTATAAAATGCCATTAACCTTAGAGTAACAGAAAGCCCAGGAGAACTGTAGTCTTACATTCCTACAGCAATTGGAATATTAAAAAAAAAAAAAAAAAAAAAATCAAGGTCCCACAGAAAGTAGGGAAATAAAGGAAAGAAAACAGATTAATTTCTGTATGCATCTAAATACATATACTTGTGCAAAATTCAAAGTTCTTCAATTTTCCAGAAGCTTCAATTTTCCAGAAGTTGTAGGTTATAGATTATGTCACTCCAGGCCGGTGCTTCTCAACTTGGGTGATTTTATCCTTCCTGAGACATCAAGCAACATCTGGAGGCATTCTGGCTGTCATTACTATGGGAAATACTATTAAAAATACCTGTCAAACGTACTCTGCCCAGGTCAGCCCTGACAACAAAGAATTACCTAACCACAAACATTAATAGCATTAAGCTGGAGAAATCCATTTCTGAAGTTTTAAATCAGTCTGCATGTATACAAATGTAATTTCTCCACATCTGCATTCTTCCTCATTTTTGCAAATCTCCAGAAAATGCTTATGTAACTACCTGCCTTTGCACAAATGTTCTTAGTGTTTGACTGAGCTTTGTTTCTGGCCTTGGTTTTCCTGCACATTGAGGAAGAAGTAAGTCAACAGAATGACTGCACCAGCCCACCACAGGCCTGCCCGTTTGGTCTAGGGGAAGGGAGACCAGTTATTAATTACTGCCCTGTTCCTTCATTTAAGGAGTCCACATATCAAAGTGCATTTCTACAAAGAATGTCAAGAACTTTAGCACTTGAGGAAAATCTAACAAATGATAAATTTAATCCTGAACTATGCGTAATATTTTTTAAATCTCCAGGTTTAGCATTTCAATGGACAAAGTATCATATTATTTTAAATAGAGAGCTAGCAAATAATTGCAACTTCTCTGGTCTTTAAGCAGATACAATTCAACGAAGAAACCTATGTCAAGACTAGTTTTTATGATATCATTATTAAAACTACTAAAGCAATACTGTAAAAACTAATAACAGGCTTCCCGCCTGTTACCTGGTTCGTGCCCTGCATACTGCAGGATCAGGGGGCCAGACACAGCTCAGCGCTGAGGCCTGAGATGCTACATGAAGATATGCCCGGCAGCCTGTCTATTTAATCGAGGGTGAAAGACTTAAATAATCTCTTAAGGCTATCTTCACTGCCTTCATGAACAAATATTTATTTGATAATGTTACACAAACCACATTCAAATCTCTTCTATACTGAAATACACCAATTTATTCCAGCAGATAAATGAACTTAAACACACCTGCTTTATGAGAATGTAAAAGACAATGGTAGGAGGACTAATGAACAATGATCTCCAGAGGGAGATTAACTATCAAGGCAGGTGCTTTCTTTTAGCAAAAAGCCAGAGACAGCAGTAAACTAAAATATTTCCATTTCCTAATAAAGAAGGACTTACTCTTTCTCCAGGTTGGCCACAACACTGTGGACATAATCAATATCTGTCTGGGAAAGAAAAAAATACCAAAATTCATATTTGTATTCGACCTTTTTATATTTTTATATTTTTATTTAATACTGAACTCAAAATTAGACAAATGACAAAACATGCAGCAAAAACATTAAATTTTCAGGCAACTTGAGGGATTTGCATTTCTGATTTTATTGTATTATTGTGCTATTCAATATCACTAAATACTTCATACAGTGAGCAGATTTGTAAGTGTTTATTCTTTCCAATTGCCTACACTCGATCAACAGGAAACTGGGCACAGAAACTATTCCTACTTCTCTGGAAACACCCAGACCCTGAGTAGTGGGCAGAGGCACCGACAGATGCAGCCTGCTTACAAGATTCCAAAATGGAAAAGTCTTTCTTAACACTTAGGGTCAAGATTTGCCTCTGGTGCTACTGGACAGTATCATCTGAAGTTACTTCTCTGAATTTAAGTTTCCTATTCTATGAAAAGAAAAAAAAAGTGGGAGAAAAATTAAGACCCCAGAGATGACAAGTTTAAATGATAAAACTGAAAAGCATGCAATGCAAAGATGTGCTGGGCTTCTGGGGACCCCTGTGAAGAAAGCCGCACCTCTGACCAACCCAGAAGCATCTGGCCAAGCCACCCAGGTCTCTGCCAGGTACTCTCCTTGCTCCTCTCCCACTGGTTGGCAGCAAACACAGGTGGTCACTGAGCTCTCAGGGCCTGCTTACTTTTAGAGAAAAATTTTTCCTGATTATATTTTTTAAAGGCACATAGATTTTTTTTTAAAGGTAGTATTACTACCCAATTCTGAGAATAAGTCTGTGAGTCTAAAATGAATACACAGATTCTTAAGTAAAAAATGCTCTTTCTTTAGAATCAACTGTTTGTCTTGGTTAAGTAAAATTAAGAGCTGGGCTGATATATGCTACAATGAGATGAACCTTGAAAACACCATGCTAAGTGGAAAAGCTGGTTGCAAAGGACTACATAACGTGCAACTGCTTTTATATGAAATATCCAAAGACAAGTATCTGCAGGGACAGAAAATAGATTATTGGTTGCCTAGAGCTGGGGGAATAGGAGGATGACTGGGTAATGGCTAAGAGTTTCTCTATAGGGTGAGGAAAATGTTCTGAAGTTGACTGAGGTGATGGCTGCCCAACTGTTTTAGTAGGTGGATTATACATTGTGCGAATTACTTTTAAAAAACAGAATAAAGTTAAAGGCATAAAAATTAAGTATTTCAGGTTGTATACCTGGATCTAGGTCACTCAGCTTCTCTTAGAGACACATGGAAAAGTTGGATACATATGTTAACATGAGCCCAGAGGAGATGGTGTCAGCAAGGAGGCAAAATCATAAGCCTCAGGCTTCACCCCATTACAGAAAGCTCAACTAACAACTACCCACAGACCAGAAAACCTTTCTGAAAACCCTACTACTTGAAAACAAGCATGAGACATGCTGCTGGTCGGCCGAACTGAGGACAGAGGATAAGAAAGAATGGTCCCACCACTACCACGGCACTCATGGAGAGAACGTCCTAGGGCCCAGGGTGTTTACTGAGGAAGAAGAACCAGGGACAGTCATCCAGCTTCCTGAGCATCCAGAGACGCATCCCACTCTAGTCTCACCTCGTGGGCAACACTGGAGATATGGCACAGCTTGACCACCAGGAGCCAGGAAAGGAGGCAAAGAGCACAGTGACCAGCACACGAGCCCTGGTGGTGGCACCTCTGTGCTTCTACCACCCATGTTGGGTGACTAGAGTTATAAGACAACTACAGAGCCCGTCCACAAAGCTGAACTGGTTGCCTTCAGCAGCACAGCGGGAAGTTCAACCCAGCTTGCGTCCCTACACGGCCAGCCTCCAGCCCAGCCTCACAGCCCACTCCAATGACCCTAAGTCCAACACCCACCTCCGACATTTCAGAAAAACATGGGGCTAGACCTGCTTGACTCAGGAAGTGAAGTGTTGGCCAAAATGCCCCAAAGATCCTGTCTAGATAGGGTCTACACATTGTGGAGAAGCTCAGAGGGTAAAGCTATTTGACCCAGGAGGTCAAACAGTCCCTCAACTCAACCAAAAGCCCACTCCATGGCACCACTGTGATAAGGAAGCAATCCTCAATCATGCATTTCCAAGGAGCATAACCTCTGACCCCACTAATCCAGAAGAGCAATGTTGCCTAACCTTGGAACCTGTATTCCGCCCAACTACAGATCCTAAATAGTGGAAATGCCTGACCAGGGAAGACATCCTCTGACTGGCCTGACCAGAAGCCATCACACTATGCCAGGATCACATCCAACTAGAGAGCTCACAGAAGCTCTGCCTCTATAGGAGCTTCACCAGTTGGCCCCCTAGAATCACAGGCTAAATAGTGAAGGATGGGCCCTGCCAAAGAATGCCTGCGCAGGCCAGAAGAGGGAGCTGTCTCCTCAAAGGTACACAAAGTAATGCTAGGACATAGTGATTACAAGCAGGGAATTATAACACCTCTCTCTCTCTCTCTCATATATATGTATGTGTGTATATATATATATATATGTATGTGTGTGTGTATATATATATGTATGTGTGTGTGTATATATATATATATGTATGTGTGTATATGTATTATGTGTGTGTGTGTATCTAACAGACCTCCAATAACAGACCCTAAAGACATGGCAATGTATGAAATGACTGATATTCAGTGAACCACAAAAATACAGGGCTAGAAAACCAAATGTAATTTGGAAAGCAATACATACACAAGCAAATTTGACAAAGGAATAGAAACAATTTTTCAAAATAATTAAGCAGAAATCCTAGAAATGAAGAATGAGTGAACTAAAATTTTCAACAGAAAGCTATGACAACTGACTTGATCAAGCAAAAGAATCAGTGAGTTAAAAAGAATTTGAAATTACTTGGACAGAGGAACAAAAACAAGGAAGGAAGGAAGGAAGGAAGGAAGGGAGGGAGGGAGGGGGGAGGGGAGGGGGGGAGGGAGGGAGGGAGGGGGGAGGGGGGGAGGGGAGGGAGGGAGGGGGGAGGGGGGGAGGGGAGGGAGGGGGGAGGGGAATGGGAGGGGGAATGGAGGAGAAAAGAAGAAAAGGGGGGGAGGAGGAGAGGGAGGGAGGAAGGAAAGGAGGGTGGGAGGGAAAGAAAAGAAAGGAAGGAAAAGAAAGTCAGTCGGGAAGTCTATGTGAACTACAGGAGAACCTCAAGAGGCCAAATCTGCATGTAACAGGAGCTGCAGAAGCTGAAAGAAAGAGGAAAAAAGGCCAGAAAGTATGAACAGCAGAGAAATCCCCTAATCTGGGGGTAGATGCCAACAACCAGGTACGGGAAGTACAAAGCTCTCCAATAAATTTAACCCGAAAAGGAGCTCAGCAAGACACCAAGCAATCAAAATCAAAGACAAAGTTCTCACAGCAGAAAGGCCACATCTAGGGGAAGCAATACCACTATCTCCAGATGTCTCCACAGAAACCCTGGAGGACAGGAAAGGAGAATGATATATTCAAAGCACTGAAAGGGAAAAAAATCACCAACCCAGAATACCTTACCCAACAAAGCTGTCTTTCAAAACTAGATAAATAAAAACTTCCCTTGACAAACACAAACTAAGGGAGTTCACCACCCGACTTTAAGGAACTCCCTAGGTAAAGGGAGTTTTTAAGCTATAACAAAAGACCTCTAAATAGCCCACAAAGCATACAAAATTATAAAACTCAATGGTCTAAGGAAAAGAGCCATATTCAGAATACTCTAGACAATGACAGTGTATATAGCAAGTCTGTTCCTAGCAAGAGGGTTAAAACACAAAACCACTCATATTTACAGGAGCAGAAATGAATTAAATTGAAACAAAAAAAATTAAAAATCAAAGAAACAAAAAGTTGCTTCTTTGAGAAAAAATATAAATTTTCATACAAAAAACATAAAATGTTGGGGAAGGAGTAAAGGCAGAGCTGTGTGCAGTCAGCTTGAAACAGGCTGTTGCAGGCTTAAATTGCTCTGTGTAAGCCTCACAAAGCAAAGCTCTTCAGTGGGAGCACACAACCAAAATAGAAAGTATTCAAAGCATACCAGCACATCACAGCAGAGAGGACAACAGCAAGAAAGGAAGGAAGCACTACAGGCGACCAGAAAGCGATTAGCAAATGGCAATCACTAAATAGTGAGTCCTTACCTATCAGTAAGAACCTCACACGTAAATGGATTAAATTCTCCAATAAAAAGACAGTGACTGACTGGATTAAAAAATAATAACCAAGACCCAATTCTATGCTGCCTGCAAGAGAGTCAATTCACTTTTAAGGAGACACACACAATCTGACAGGGATGGAAAAAGATTTCTCAGGGAAACCAAGGAAGAGATGTGTTTTTACATCAGACAGATAAGACTAATAAACTACAACAACATTCTATAATAAGGGGGTCAATTCATACAATTGTAAATATATCTGCACCAACATCAGAGCACCTAAATATACAAAACGAACATCAAAGGCTCTGAAGGAGGGAGAGTGTGAAACTGAAGAGTGACCCTGAAGACCTGCCACTGTAGCTGCTCAGATTTCAGGCTCCCTGAGCTCTAGGAACTCCTGGCTGTCCTTTTACCAGCCCTGGGCATTCCCTACGTGTGGCCTGATTCAGCCAACACTGAAAGGTGTCATTTTCTGGGTAGTACTCTCCCCTCTGGACCTCTGCTCTGCAGTCTCCAGCTTCTCTGTTTGGTGCCCCTTCTGCATACAGAAATATGTTTCATTGGGATAGAGAAATATGTCTCTAGGCAGAAAACTGGGACAATCATGGTGCTTTCCCTCTATCTCAGGCAGCCACATCCTGTGTAGTCTGCTGTCCAGTGTCCGAGAACAGTTGATTCACCCACTTTGTCCGGCCTTCTACTTGCTGACATCAGGAAGATAAGTCCAGTTCTTGCTAACTCCACCACACTGAGAAACAGACGTCATTTAACATAACAAGGAACCACTGAGAATTCCAGAAATATAATGTGTACATGTGAC